CCGGCCCTGCTCGCCCCACCCTACCCCCTCCGTACCGCTACGACTCTGGTGTCGTGCCAGAAGTCTGGAGCGTCCTGGTTCTGGCACGAGCCGCGCCACTCGCTACAAGCAGGGAGTGCGGGCGTATGACACGCCCATCGGCAAGGTACCTGCGGCCGCTATGGACGGCACACGACATTACGTGCTGCCGAAGTCTCCTCTGCCACCCCCCCCCTCCCAACCCTTCGCAAAGTTGAGCGCGTTGTGCCCCTGCCACGTCTGCTACCCGTTATTCGGACCGCGGGGTCGGCACCACCTGGCCACTGCAACAACTGATCGGGACCCACAACATCACCGAGAGGCTCGCCGAGAGGTGAGGAAGCTCTATCGCCGCCCTTCCATCTACGGCTTCGCGGGCGCCGAGCAGAACCGAGCGGAGAGTGACACATTTCGCTGCTGAATGGGGAATGAGGCGACCCTCGCTCTAAATCGTATTTATCGACGCTGAGGTGTGGCCCCAGTGTGGCCCGCGCGCAGTCGGGGCGAGGGGAAAAGAAGGGGGGGGGGATAAGAAGGCAAACGTCAGACGCCGGCAGATGGCTTTTGATTCGAGCTCGCTCGCTTTGCATCCTCTTTGCGACTGTGAAGCTCCAGCACTCTTTTCCTGAAAACTCACCCGTTACGCTAATCGCATAGCACGCCTCGATGCAATCTGGAATCGGAGAAAGGTGCCGCTCGGCCCGCATTGACATTCGTCATTGTAGCGAGGGCCAGCTGTCCGCCGGACCACCTAGGAGAGTGGATCCATCTACACAACACGGCGAGTTTGGTCCGAGGCTGCTGGGCCGGGGCCGGGCCGGTGACAGCGTCAATGTACACTGCCTCGTGAGTGAGGGCGTCGCATTCGACGTCGATAACGAGGAGAAAGTTTCGTCGTGATTCGGTGCACGGTTGACAGAATTTAATTCTAAGGCTTGGTTACAACTGCCGTAGTAAGGTGTATTAGCTGTTATTTTTGCCTCAGCCTTTCTACATATGTGTCTGAATTCAAATTGTCTCCATCCTCGTTAGCGAAGTGCCTCACAACACACTAGTACTACTTCAAAGGCACACATGCACTTCGACATGCAAACTACTCACACAAAAGCGTATAAATTTGCAGAATTTTGAGAGATATGTACTCTATGGCTTTTTAAATTTAAATGAAATAGAAAATTGTTAATTTCTGAGTTCTATTACAGTTCCACTTGCTTTTTTTCTTGTGTTTAATATTGTTTTAAAAAGTTACGAATTTTCTCGTTCCTCTGCGCGCATCATAAACTTTCAAATTCAAGCAATACGAGGAACCGACTGATTTGAGCAGGAAATAAAATTGCGTCACTGCAGGCTTCGCAGACTCACCAATTAGAATCAAGGTGACAAGTTTTCGAGAAGGTATGACTTGTGACATCTTTTCGTCGCTATCTTTGCTGTTTGCGCTTTTTTTTTAGTTTATATTTTTATATATCCTACGTACTTTGGGGAAAAGGGGCCCTCGAAGGCAAATCATAAAAAAATGCAAACAATAGGGGATTTATTTTTAGTGTAATTTATTTATCGGTAATTCCAGCGAGCCCCTACCAGCTACAAACAGGAATCGCACATCACAGATGGAAGCGCGCGAATTCGCGTGCGGTACATAGTCTCATAAAAAAAATACATAAATACACTCCTCTTTGCAATTTCAATTAAATTTCTCAGTTCAACAATAAATACATAAGATACACTATAGATATTATTACACTATATACATATGCAACACAATAACTTTAATTTTAACGTTTACAAATATATAATTTGCGTACAAATATTTGTTTGGTATGAACACGTTTAGGGTGATAAAACGTCATTATTCGAAGGAAACAATGTCTGAACAGAAACTCAGTTCTGCATCTCCCCCACATAAAACAAGTCTTTTTATTTATACTTAACAGGATCAGGTGACAACGCCAGCCCCCCTAAGCTAAACCGTAAAATGGCTACGGGCAGCTGTCTCCCAATCCACCAGGCACCATCATCTCAATACCTGATACGTGGGCCTCAATAACCCATCTCAGTGTGTCGGGCCAGACCAGTGGAGGCGGTCGGGTCCCCTCTCCTTTCCTCATCCTTCCATATCACCATCCGGATAAGTCCGTCTTCGTCTAGGTAGGATTTGGGGGCTCTACGGGATCCAGGTAGCGGCACGGCCACCGCACACAGTCACACACACATTCTCTCTCTCTCACACACACACACACATCCACGCTCGCACACGTACGGCTACATATTGGCTGTGTTATTGCTCCATAACCACGCGCAGGGAAGGGAAAAGAAACAAGTACAGCCAAATAATAATGAAGAAATTTTCGGGCCACAACCGGAGCAAGGCAGGCTGTGGTGCTGGCTCCGTAGCCGGGGACAAAAGTTCGAAACACAGCCAAATGGAGCTGGCGAATAAAGTTGCGAGAACAAAGGAGAATGGCCAGTAAAAGAGGATAGGAGAGGGAAATGAAGGGCTGCACGATTTGATGGTGGGATCTAGCTGCACGCCTTGTCTTTGTTTCCCTACTGAACGTGAGACAGGTGAAAACATATAATATATATTTCTCTCTCATGAAACTGTAAAATACAGGTATGAGACCCACTAGCATTGCTTAAAGCCCTCGGTGTGATCCTTATAAGGTAGGGCAAAAGTGTGAAGCAATCATTTTACAAATTCCTAGCTATCTTTGTCTGGTCATGATCAGGTGGTAACCTTACCCTATACATAACGTAAACTTTAAACGCCTAGCCCAGGTCATCTCTCACTACCTAAGGCAAAAATAAACTATTTACAACAAACTAAAAAAATAATAACGCAACATCAATATGCCATAAAGGCTGCCAACGTAATTGTGCAACACAACATTATTACAACAAATCAAGATTCATAAAATTTACAAATTAGCACAAAATATACATTTTGCAATAAAGCGAGGTTTCAGAGCATGAGAAATCATTCCTCAAATAGAGATTACAATTGAAATTCTAGTTACAACATCCGATAGCATTTTCTAGTAGTGATTGTTGTTATGAAAGTAGCAGTAATATCTCAGTTTTTAGCATTCCAGCAACAGAGAGCAAAACAAAAGTTATAAACATAATTACAAATAAAACCGATAAAAGTAATAAAATAATCTTAACAACTTATTACAATAAAAGCGTGGAGCAACTACTACGGCGCTAACGCACTGAGACATTACTGCCTGTGTGGACGGATGGATGCATGCTTTGCCTTCTACTCGAGCGCAACGCACTCACCGTTGTTGTGGTAGAAGGAGCGGCCGCCCGAGCTGGGGGCGACGGATCCATACAGCTGTTGCAACAGATTCAGGTCTTCCTGGGGTAGGGTGTTGATCCCCGGAGCCACCTTCGGGGCGTTGTTGTTGTCGGCTGGCGCGTGTCCGGGCAAAGAGGCTGGCAATGAGCCCGGGACAGGGAGAGATGGCATAGCAGCGGGCTCGTTACCAGGCTGTGCGTCCTTATGTGTCTCCAGGTACTGACGCACGTTTTCAATGTGCTTCTTGGTGAATATGTGGTCTTGGATCGAGTACTTGTGCGAATACTTGAATTGGCAGTGTACGCACTCTTCCGGGGCCCGATCTGGAGGGGGAGTAACTAGCGACTCGGGCCCACCCAATGCTTTCTGCAGCGCCAACTTGGTTTTCTTCTCTTTGGCGCGCGCGTTTTGAAACCACACCTGGACAACCCGCTTGGCCAGCCCGATCTCACGCCCTAACATCTCGCACTCCGCCATGGTGGGCGTCTTGTAGTCCGCGAACAGCGATTTCATAATTTTGACCTGCAACCAGACACGAGACGGTCTTAGGTCGAGTCCACGAGTCCACGTTACTACGTAATAATAAGCATACTACGGACACAAGCACACACACACTAACACGAATTGAATCTTGTCAGACACACACACACACACAGGTTCAGGTCTCCACCTTGACCTTACTAACCTGCAGAGAGCTCATCTGAGTCCGAAATCGTTTGTTGGGCTGCCCTGGTTGACCGGGTGTTCCGGTCGGCGTAGGTCCGGAACGCTGGTGTCCACTCTGGGTCGAGGACGCCGGGGACGTAGGGTTGCTTTCGTCGTCCATATTGTCAGTGCACTCAGACATGGAATCGTCCCCGTGTTCGCTGATTGGATCCTCTCGAACAGACAACGCCATGCCGAGGGGCCTGCTCAAGTCCACTGGTTTGCTGAGGTCAAGCACGCCAGGGCCAGCCTCCGCAGGCGGAGCTCCAGGGTGCTGAGGCGCCTCCTCCTTAGGCGCTGCTCCGTCCTTGCCGTTCTGAGACGTTTGGTGAGCCTGCAGTTCACTGATGTATCGCTTGACAGACTCTTCATAGTATTTCTTCAAAGACGCCTCCACGTCGGGGGATTGAAATGGGGGAAAGAGCGGGGGCATCATGTTGGGCTGAGCAGACGAGTGCTGTGATGATTGGGTCGACTCCATGCTCACTTCCTCGTCTGGAAGAGCATCTATGTTAATTTCACCACGGGCACACTGATCGGCGTGCTTTGTGTTTAAGTGAGACTCCAGAGCAGATTTGACTTTGAAAAGAGCGGGACAGAAAGGACAGCGCTTATTGATGACTTGCGAGTGAGCCCGGCATTGCCCCTTTCTCTCTCTCGCGCGCGTGTTCTGAAACCACACCTGTACCACACGTTTTTTCAAGCCTACTTCCCGGGCGATGTTCTCGAGCATTTTACGGGAAGGATTACTTTCCATTTGGTATTTCTGGTAAAGATAATCTAGCTGCTCAGGAAGAATAGTCGTCCTTAGTCTCTTATCCTTCGGTTGCTCGGACTGTTCTTGTGGCTCATCGAAGTCTTCTAGCTTACGTTTAGCTCCAATCATGTTCACCAAAGGGTGTGTGGCAGCCCCGGGAAGCAGTGAAAGGTCGGGAAGAGCAGGTAAGGCTGGAGCAGCTTGCTGTTGTACTTGCTGCTGCTGTTGTTGCTGCTGCTGTTGTTGCTGCTGCTGCTGTTGCTGCAGCTGCGCATGCTGCTGAAGGATGCCAAAAGGTGAATCAGGAGGGTACGTTGGGAACAAGTTTGGGTTCATGATATGCACCAGCTGATGCTCCCGCCAAAGCTCGAACCTCGGAAAGACAAGGTTGCACTTGTCACATTGAAACGAGCTGTCCTTACTTGATAGATTCTGGGTGTCACGGGGCAGCTCACGAGGAGAATCGGGTACTGGGGATGGAGTGGGCGTGTGGGCAGACGGCCCAGGCGCGGGCGTCGCCGGCCCAGTGCTGGCCGTCAGCACCGCGGTGCTCGCCTGGGGGGCGGACTGCGGGGCGGCCGGAGCCTCTCTCTGCTCAGTCATGGTGCTGGAGTTGGAGTCTTCCGACGACATGACGGCTGCGATCTGTGCCGCGGCGGCCTGCGCCTGAGCCGACCGCTTTGCGTCCTCTTCCTTAAAGCAATGGGTCTTCTGGTGGCGAATCAGCTCATAGTACCGCTGGAAGACAAGCAGGCACTTTTTGCACTGATAATTGAGGCCTGGTGTTCGTTGAAAGCGGCCTTGCTCGTCCGTGGTCCCCGTTCCAGGTGCTGGATCTACAGCTGGCTGGTTCTCATACACCTTGCGGGCCTTCTGTCTTGCATTTTGAAACCACACTACAATGACACGTGGGCTCAGGCTAAGTAGCTTTGATAGATACTCTAAATCGTCGTCTTTTGGGTAGGCATTGTTTTCAAAAAACTCTTGCAAAACTTTGATTTGATAGTCAGTGAAGCGCGTTCGATTAGCTCTCTTGCCTGTGGAGCCACTCGATGAGCTGCTGCCGCTGGAGTTGGCGCCGCTCGCACCACCGCTGTTATTGGTTCCAAGGTGGGTAAAAGGGTCGTTAAACGACCGACCAGGACTCACGCATCTACTATTGGGTGTCATTGGTCCCGGAGCAGCACCGTGGGTGGGTGATGCAAAATTTGGAGGAGTCAGTTTTGGTGGCAGCATTGATGCTGCACTATGGCTTAAAGGATCTGGTCCTAATTGAGACGCGATCAGGGAGGAGAGGGTGAGGCTGGCTGGCGACGAGCTCCGCGAAGCATGCGATGGCGTCGGGCTGAGATGGTAGTCTTCGCGCTCCATAACGCTGTGCTCAGAGCTTGGTTCTGTTTTGATATGCTCTGGGGGTTTCGGAAATTGATGCATCATCTGCTGCTGCATCAGCTGTTGTTGCATTTGCTGTTGCTGCAGCAGTTGTTGCTCGCGCTGCTGTTGTTGATGCTGTTGCTGGGGACTCGGTTTAGGTGGCGGGGGCGCCACCGGTGCTGGTTGGACTGGAGGTGGTGCTGGGGTTGGTGGCTTCACCACCGGTTTCTGCTCATCGGAACTACTGCTTGTGTTAAGGTGAATGACTTTCGCCTCACCTGTCTTCTCGTACTCCTCCAGGTTTAAAGTAGTCGAGGGTGGATTGTTGAAGTTGTAGGGGGAGTCCTTATTTCTCTGACGTTCCTTAAACAAAGTATTCCGGAACCAGTGCTTGATTACTTTCGGTGGAAGCCCAGAGCGCGCCGCCATGTCGTGGATCTGCTCTTCGGAGGGTGAGTTGTTGATGTCAAAATGAGCCCGGAGGATCTTAAGCTGCTCATCAGTTATCCTCGTCCTAGCCCTCTTCTGCTGTGCGGCATTCACCTGTAACAGTGAAGTATTCTGAACAAAAATATAACAACAGTTCCAGCGCCATATTTGACGGCGGAACTCAAATATACGAGTCAATTTCAAACAAGGTAATCAGTACTCACCACTTGCTGTTGCTGCTGCATCAAAGCCTGCTGTTGTTTGGCAAGTAGACCAGTTGGGTCACCCATGTTCTGACCCTGAGGACTGAAGAGAGGGTTTTGCGCTGCCATCGGGTCGAAAGGCGGTGGCGGCATCATAAGTGGGACCAGAGGAGGCTGAAGGTTCATGGCGGCTAGAGCCTGCATGTTCAGCCCCAAAGGAAGACCCATCATGCCAAGCATCATAGGATTCAGTTGCTGTTGTAAATGTTGTTGCACAGCCATGGCATTGAGGGCCATTTGCATTGAATCCATTTGTTGTGCAAGATTCATTGGCATGCCCTGTCCAGCAGAAGGCGACATTCCAGCAAGAGAAGGAGGAGCCGTAGTCGAAGTGTTGGCAGGAACACTGTCAGTACTGGACGCCGGCGTTGATGATGCAGTTGGGGTTGAGGGTGCAGTAGGCGTAACCGGTACGTCATTGGGAGGAGTCATGATATTTGACTTAGGTATGTTCTCTTTGCTATCCTCTGGTTCCTTTTCGGGCGTTGATTCAACTCCAGGAGGACCGGACTTCTTTTCGTATTCTGACTTGAACTGCTGAGCATATTTTTCGAGAAAGTCGAGAGGCACAAGATCTTTGTGTACTTCTTCACAGTGTGCCTTCAAAACCCAAACACTCGAGAATTCTTTATTGCAATGAGTGCAAGTAGATTTAGAGACTTCTGGTAATACATCCTTTTCATTTGGGGTGCTTGGCCGAACCTCTTCATCGGGCTGCTCCTCTTTGACCACAACTACTTTAGTCTCTTTTTGTTCTTCCTCATTATCTTCCACCTTTTCTGGCTCCCGGATCTCCTCCGCGATCGGCGCTTGCATATGATGTTGTACGGCATGCTGCTCAGCTTGTTCTTGCAATTGTAGCTGTGCCTTTTCCATGTCTTCCCTCTCTTTCTGCTTACGGCGCTGATGATTTTCATTGAACTGCATTACCAAGTCAAATCCGAAGCTTTCTAGGAGGTGTTTGTACATTTGGGAAGACTTCTTGTTAGCTGAGAGTCTTGCAAAAGTGTCTTCAGGAGTGGACTGAAAGGGCGGCGGTGTCCTGTTATTGGAAGATTGTGGGCTGGCACCACCCATTCCAAACATATTAATTGGACTGCCAAACAGGCAATACAACTGTTGGTGAGTGGCAAGTTGCTCCTGACTGGCAAACAGGGCAGAGCAGCGTGGGCAAGCTAAGGGGTCGGAGCCTATCACAGACGATTGAGCAGAGGCGGAAGAACTGCCTAAACTACTAGGAACTGTTGGGGAGCCCTGTGCCGTGCCCGTACTGCCCCCGGACGGTGGTGACGTCAGGGATGACGAGAGCGACTGTGGTGGTGCCAGCTTTGGAGACGCTCCTAAGATATCTTGAATAAGCTTCGATCGTGGTTCTGGCTGTTCAATTAGAGGCTTGCTAAGATCAATTTGGCCAGTTATAGCCAGGTCTTGAAGCTTGGAAGCACGAGTCTGGTGAAGAACGGACCTCATGTGGATGTCCAAAGTAGATCCTTGGCTGTACGCGACGCGGCAGATGTTGCACTTGTACGGTTTCTTATCGTCGTCATCAGAGGCTGAGGAGCTTTGTGATTTAGGTGTTAACGGCATACCAGGAGGTAAACTTGGCGGTGATGTGACACCTAAGCTTGCCAAAGTGTCTTTGATGTTATTATTGTTGTTATTGTTCTGCTGCTCTTGCATTGCACGCTTTAGCTTGTGCAAGTGACTGACTGAATTGTAGTGAACTAAAAGAATGTTCTTTTGAGTGAACGATTCTTTGCAGACATCACACTTGTACGGCCTATTAGGGTCAAGATATTTCTCCATAGGATACGTCAGCTTCTCGCCTTTGCGATGAAGCAGGGTCTTGTTGTGGGCTGTAAGATAGCTTTGCCTTGTATATGCAACTTTACATCGGTGGCACTTGTACTTGCGGTTTGGATCGTTGTATGAGTCTTCAGCCATAGCTTGGCTGTTAAGATAGTCCTCAAGGAACTGTTGCTCTTTGTACACGATGGAATCATCACTATTTTCTCCATCATGCGCGTTACCAATGAAGCTATCATCAGTATTGTCTTTGGCAGGGCTTTCTTCTGAATCCATTACGTCATCATCCACCCTCATGCTCTCCTTCCGCAATAGCTCATTGGTTACAGGGTCAAGAACGGGCCCTGTAATACCAGCGAGAACAAGAGGATTGTTCATCAGGCTCTGTTTGTAGGCATTCAGCTCCTCTTCGGTCAGTTCCGGATGCGCAGTCTCAACGTGCTTGTGCAGTGCTAATACGGATCGGAATGAACGCCCGCATAAGACACACTTAGTAGCATCCCTGATGATGTGGTACTGCGAATGAAGTTGCAGTTTTTCCATAGTCTTGAAAGCTAGTGAGCACTGACTACATCTGTATTTGTAGACGTGCTTCTCAGACACGGCTACGCCAGGCTGACCACCCCCGCGGAGATGTATTTCCCGGAAGTGCATTTGAAGGCTGTTGGCCGAAGGGAAGTACTGGTTGCACCCCTTTTTCCAACAAAGGTAGCCGGGGCCAAGAGGGGTTTGTTTCAGTTCTAAGTGACCAGCTTCGCTCTGATGAGCACAGAGTTCTTCGAAGGCACGAAAGCTCTTCGAACATGCGTGGCAGCGCAAGAGATCGTCTTGGTCTTCGGCTACATCTTGGTCGTCCACCTCTCCTGAGTTGTTGTCCGAGTTGTTCAGCTTCCCGGAGGATCCGGAGTCCTGAAGCTCCTTACAGCCCGTCGAAGACGCCACGGACGACGGGCTGTTTAGATTTCCCGGAGACGTGTGCTGTGGTGTGGTAGGTTGCTGACTGCTTGGTGTCCCAGCACCCTGCCTGGTTGACGAATTAAGCCAGTGACTTTGGTCTACTAACATTAACAATCTTTGAAGACCTTCTGAGTTGACTGAGTGAATTTGCATCACATGCCTTTCCAATAATGCACGGTCTCTAAATGCATCTTGACACAGGGGACAGAGAAAATCTCGTTGAGGGCTGCTTCGTGGACTTGAAGGAGCCTCGCTTTGGTGGTGAGCAAGAACGTGAGCCTGTACCCTCAGCTCAGAACTAGCGGTGAAGTTACAGTAAGGGCATTGATGCGCTCCTTCGCTGGCTGGGCTACCCTGGCGGTCTTGGGGTGTGGATGCATCCCGCTCCCGCGACCTCTCTCTTGACCTCTCTCTTTCTCGTTCTCTGCTCTCTCGTTCTCGGTTTTCACGATCTCGTTCTCTCTCGCGCTCGAGCAGTTGCTGCTGCTCTTTGTTATCTGCAACAGAAAAAAGAAAATATTGTCATTAGCACATTTATTTAACGACAAGTTAAAATGTAGCTAGGCTGAATAGGCACGGTTCGTCCAAAAGCGCGATGGCGCTAAGTCCTATGCAGTCATTCCTGCAGCGTCATTCATCGAATGACACGAGGCATCAGCACTGCATTCCTACAAAGCTGCGACAGTGTCATTTTGGCGCTAACTACCGCTTTCAGGTTATAACACCTCCTGGGACAAACCCGTCTCCATATATCCCGTCCCATCACCTGCTGTCGCCTATTTCGAGTTTTCCGCCAACCTCCAGCAGCACGACTGCACACAACCTAGTCATTAACACCCTGTACAGAAGAGGGAGCCCGGTAAGCAGGGACACACAGCGCCCCCTCATCACAGCGATGACGATTATACTATTTTCACGAGCACGACGACAATTACTCTGCGCAAAAGCCACGATTCGTTAATAACCTCCCACTACCGGGGCCTCTAATCACTGCCGTCATTGTTGTCCGTTATTCGTCGAGACGTGCCTAGCCTACAGGGCCCTTTGCGGCAGCTTGGCACAAGGCTACTGCAAAGGTTGGCTCCGGGGCCACAAGTCATGGCAGCTTCGATTCAAAAAACGGGTTGCTAACAATAACGCTTCTTAAGTAACGCCGTGAGAGGAGTGTTTCATACAACGGTTTGAATTCGTTCTAGAGTACATTCTAGATAGGCCACTTCCGCTCCCTTTTTCTTGTCCAGTAGCAGCATATCCGTGCGCACGCATAGCGTAGTCCATTCCACGCACGCCCCTCTCACCCTCCCTTCGACGGCAGCGCCGCTCAGTCGGCCCGAGAAGAAAATAAACCACTTTGCCACCGTGGAGTCATAAAGATCGCTCCCCATTAAAGATGTAGTAGTGGTGTTCCGGCGTCCAGGGCGCGGGTCGGGCCTCAGCGGCCGTGCTCTGCCCCCTCCACTTCACCTTCCCCGACTGACGAGTCTAGCAATTTTCAATCTCCCCATCATATCTACCGGGTAGGCGCCTGGCGTGGCTGGCGTCGTGACTCGCCAGTGGGTAATTATCACAGAGACAAGCCAGGGCCCGGGCGCCGTAGCACAGCGTCGCGACGGTCCACGGCACACCTCGCCCCTCCCCCTCGCACCCGAACAAGGTGCTAGAGAATCACTTCCGCCAAGGAATTAAATTTAAGCAGCGCCTGCGGAGCTCCGATAATAACGACATCAGGACGGGAACAGACGGAATCATATACGTGGAGAATTTATCCCGGTGCTTGGCACCGTCCTATTGCTGTGCGATACATACAGCGTTGGCCACACCATCGTCCCCGCCTGTCATAATCAACGGGCCTCATCCGTTCAAGAACGGAGGGAGAGAGAAAAATTGAGGCGTCGGACAGACTCGGTAATTATCGCCTGCCGCTGATTAAGCCGCGTGATTCAACAGACTTACGCCTCATTGTCGTGCTGCTGGGCTGGGCCCCGCCACCCCCACACCGCCCCCCGCCTCTGGTACCCGCACCGCGCGGCGCTTCTGCTCTGACGGTGCTGTTTTTAAGTTTTCGCTTCCGTTTCCCTTTGTTTCCCTTTGTTGTTAAAAATTCTACGTGTCCGTCTCATCCGTCTCGGGTGGCTGATGAACGCAGCAGCCTCCCGAGACGTACTTGAACAGCTCCGCACCTGCGGCTGAACGGTTCTGTCGGGGCCGGCCGGGGCTTTCATAATTGGCCCTGCAATCCTGTGGCCACGTTTCCTTTCCACAGGCGGGCTCAGCCACAACGCGATATATATTGAATTCATGCCTCCCTTAAAAAGTATTTCTTCAGAAGGCACGCGGTTCAGGTTATGATTGAAAATGGGGGCCGTAGACTTTACGCAGAGCCTCTGTATTGACATCCTGCCAAAAAGGAAACGGGCTCTCACATGCATTCAACAGTAATGCCGTGTCGTGGATGTTTATCACGGGAAGGGCTTTGCCGGGCATTTCAGCTTCCCCCGGTGCGCCGCTGGCCGACACAAAAGACGCGCCGCTGACGTTTAGACCTGGCCGGCCGGCCTCCTTCCCAGTAGCAGTGACCGAAACAATGACACGACGGTTTTTAACATTGTTGGTCAGGTCCGTAATTACGAGAATTGCGCCTTAAACGCCCCGCACACAACTCTATAAAAGAGGCACAATATGCTGTGCGGCCGACTGCTTGTATGGAGGGGGAGGGGCCGGCGGCCAGGACCCTGTTCACACGCCGGCAGTGGCCAACGCCCCCGCCGTTCGAAGAAGCTACCACCGGGCCGAACCGGAGGCGATTTTTCCCATCTCGCGCCTGTCTGAATGACTCGGACACCTTCTGTTCGTCTCCCATACAAGAAGCTGCTCCGCTCGCATCGATCCCCTTGATCCCCCCCTCGTCATTGACAGACGCCCCCGCAGCGATTAAGTGACGCAGTACGTACGGGCCGTACTCGTTAATTGCCGCTGGGCGTCGCTCGGTTGTTGCTGTCACATTGTTCACACCCAGCAGCAGCGGCAGCGGAGCCAGCAGCACCGGGACGCCCTTTTATTTATGGAGCCCCAAAAGCAGGCGGTTGTCATGGCGATGGGAAGTCTCCAGCCCATTGCCCTGATTATTAAACAGATAAGTCCGTTTCGTGGTGCACGCCCAGGTACACGGCCAACACAAAGTGACGGCCCGCTCAGCACTCGGGCGCGGTCAAATCGGCAAGCCCGGACGGCGCAGCGGCGGACGGCGCGGGCGGCACGCAGCCTGAGGGTAGGCCACCCGCCCAGCTCCGGCGCGCACTACCGAGAATGTTGCCTATGCTGCCCCAGGCAGGCGGTGTGGGCCCGGCGCTCACCGAACGCGGCGACAACGCGGCGCCCAAATCCACCGTTTTCTCTTTTTTGAAAGGCGCGAGGCGGGGGATATTAAAGCTGTTTCTTTCCCTGGCTTCATAATTCCGGAGCCAGGGCTGCGTACGCGGCGGCTGTGTGCTTTCTCTCTATCCGGGCCTAGCCTCAGCGACAGCGATAACAGTGCGCCTGCCGACCTCGACGCGTCCCGCGAGGAGCCCCTACCTATTCGCACGTAGTAGCCAATAAAACAAGGGGGAGGAGAGGGGGCCAGAAACGCAAAAGGTAACGAGGGGAGGGGGAGGGGAAAGGGGGAAA